TATTATAGTCCGAGTTGCGCGGTATCAGTAGGGCAACTCCTCCCTTTTCCTTCCCGCTGGAAAAATCGATCTCCGAAGTCGCAACAATTCAAAGACCCACACCTGTGTGATCGAAAATACTTAAACAAATAATGTTGTAGCGTTTGACATTTCCAGAGTGTCGCGATGCGATTCTTAACCGACATCAAAGACGAGTCCATCGACGAGAACATCTTAAGGTCGATCGTCAGGATGTGCCAGTTCATGCATTCGAGCGTGATAGAGTCCAGTGACCTCTTCCTCAAGGTGAGAGAAGTTTCTTAACCCTCGCATTCTAAAGAGTAGTCCCAGCGGGGCTCAAGATAGGACACGGAAGCCACGTAGAAATTTCTTTCTGCTTTGGATGAATTCGACAAGCAGAAACTAACGTCAATTCTTTTAATTTGTCTGCTGCTACAATACCTTCGCTATACCATGATTTTGTATTTTACACGTAGAGAGCGTCGTATTAATTTTGTAGATATTATTATTGAAAATTGTAGCGCCTCATTCGGAGAATTTACGTCTCGCCGGTGGTTAATGCAAAGGCAGTCGGCTTCGGTTTTATGCAAATACTGGTTCACGACCAAGGGTTGCGGGGGACGAGGCGAGGAGAGACAGATATTGGCATCCGGCAAAGTAATTATTATCGTTTTCAAGGAGTGCCCCTCCTCGCAAAGCTTCCGACGTTTACGGTCATGGCGTACTAAGAGGATTCAGAACAGTTCGATGAACTCGATAATTGGTTTCCTTGGAGAAATAGGACGAAAAATAAACGCAAGGGAAAATATTAACTTGTGCGCTAAATCGTGAATTTTATCATTCATTACGTCCGGTAGATTCGTCCCTTTTTGGTGAACACGTGAAGGGTGTGGATGAAAACTTCCGTTGATCAACGGATCGACGAATTTCGTTACCTCGTGATCCCGTAATTGAACACTTGGCTCGAAGGGAACGTTAGGCGATAGTTTGCTAGTTCCGCCCAATCAGTTCAGGGACTGAGTAATTATAGTTTAATTAATGTAAAGTTTAATCATGCACGTGAAATTCTGTGGCAAAGCAAATAACCTTGGCAAAGCAAACTTAATTAGCGACATGCAACAGTGATTATTGTTCATCGCGGAGTACTTTTGCAGAGAATATAATTTGATTTCTTGTCAAGATTTATTATTAAATTATTTTATAATTATATTATTATATATTTTTATATAATATAATATTATATAAAATATTAAAATGTATCAAAATATAATAATAATTTATGTAATTTATATTAAAATATAAAATATATTATATTTTTTTATATATTATTATATTATTTATTATATTATGGGACAATAGAAAATACTTGTCGATGCAACTTGTTGAAATAGAGCAACGTTAAGTAAATTTTGTTACAGTGGAAATAATGTGTATGCTTTGGTATGAGTGAAAACTATTGTTATCTGTTTCTCGAGCTTAAGAAAGTGTGAGGGAGAAGATTATATTACATGCATGTTACAAGTAGAAATTTATCGAAATGCAAAAATTATGCAGGAACTGAACCGTCACAACTATGTCACTCCGACATCCTACCTGGAGCTGCTTTCCAGTTACGGGAATCTTCTCAGCAAGAAGAAGAACGAATTGATCGCGGGAAAGAATCGTTTGAGCGGAGGTATGAAATTTGGTTTTCACTGTCCGCGCGCAACATTCGCTCGCAATACAGTTATTTTCCGGTCTAACGAAGAACAAACGTTCTTCGATGACGCAGTATGTGCGAAACATTTCCCTCGGAACATTTCCTTTCCTGCTAGAGTAAGTGTAGGTATTACTGCGGTTTCTCAATGAAGGCGAATTTTGACAGAGAAAATAAGACCTTTTACGCCAATAAATTGACAACTTGAGCTATACTTATTATTCTACAACTTGAACATTTACTTTTCTCAAAATATTGGATCTCTCAAAGAACTTTAATTTCATTAAAAAACGTAATGTAAAATACGTGTGCATATATTACTGCGGTTGTGTACCTATCACTGCGAACCAAATACTGTGGACGTTCCGATTACTGCACCGCAGTAATATACACACATAGTAAAAATGTATGCGCCAAATACTGTGTTAATAAATAATATTTAAGGATAAATGATAGTGACAGTGTATGTTGATTTTTTATCAAAGCAATGACTACTTTATCTTTTTAAAAAAACGCTAAAATGAATAGTTTATTACTAATTACTCACAGCTGCCATTCATAAAACTCAACGTTTTCGTAAGCTTCCGAATATCAAAAGTCATTAAATGAATTAAAACTGCGATTGCTGTTACTTGTATGTCATGAATTATCAATATTAAACATATAACAAATTATGAGATTCATTTTTAGAAGAGTACACGCTATAAAATGTTAGATTTTATTACTTTTATAAAATAACACAGTATTTGGGGCGTCCGCAGTAATAGCCACACTTACCCTATTGAAAGATTTATGATTAGACTTCGCCACAAATCATATTTCTATGTGTATAAACGTCCAACAGCGTACAAATCATCTATCCGTATTCCGCAATAAAATAATGCCGCCTAGTTTTTTAACCTAAATTTTTTTCTTTTAAAGACCGCAACTTCTAAATAAAATACAGGCATTAAAATAGTGAGAACATGTCACGCGCTCCATGAAAGTATTAAGAATTCCTGCTATTTTGTTTTAAATCATTGAAAACTTCAGGTTGAAACTAATAAACTCAATTGAATTTTTCTTTTGTATTTTTTAATTGCGCCGGGTAATGAGTTAATAATGCAAATGAACGATTTAAATGCAGTGAAATTAATTCACACAAGTATATATACACATATACGTATATGTAAAGCACAAGTGCTATGAAAATGGATAAAACGGGAACGTTTCAATTGATAATTATTGCATTGTGAAGAAATTCGTCGGGTCGAGTTCAGTCCATGGGAAAATGAAGTAGCCTGATATTGCGCCTGAAGGATGCTCCATCTGTCGACACGCGTTATTTGCTAGGACAGTTGGTAGATTGTAATTGCAGCTAGATATATAGAGTGTCGTTAAAACTTCCGGCCCCGCGAGCTCGCGTCGATATAGGTTTCTCAACACTGTCGAATGGCTATCGATCGTTCGCCTGTCGATTTTCGTTCTTTTTCCTCTTTGCCCCATATAAACGGCATCGAAGGCCCCGTTCTGTTAATCAAAGCAAAAATTGTTTCATACGGGTGGTTTCGAATTTGTCAAATTACAAAATTTGTTTCGTACAGTACGTCGGTCGAGAGTGAAACTCCGACTTGTTCGGCGGTTCCGTGGGTCAGAGGTAAAGGACCCCGGGCCGACTAATTTCGCGGACGAGGAATTACGCAAAGTCTGCGCGATGGTGATACGTGTCAACTTTGGATTATTGATCTCGCCCGCTGATGGAACGGGAACTGCTAACCACGGGACCGGAAACAACGGTGTCGGGAAGCGGAACTCGGCGAGACAGTCTATATTCGATTAAACCGATTCGGAGCTTATCGATATTTAAAGCTACCGAATAATCGGTAAATAAATAAAAGTCAATGGGAACGGCAATTATAAGTGACATTGCTGCCACTTGACGGTTTTACACGATTTGTTCATTAGCACCCCTAAAAGCGGACGTGTTTCCGATTGGCTTTTAGCAAATGGTTTATGCACCGATAGGCGGGAAACGTATTTGTCCAGCCACTTCTTCCGGAATTTTTATTGGATCTATTTCATCAATTTTTACAAATTGAAGCTGTCCGGCAAATACAATTATTTGATGCTGCTTTCGAAAAGCTTCCACGTGGATCTGTTTTACGCGAATGAAAATTACGTTCACACAGCCTGTTAGTACGAAAGATAAAAATATCGGAAATGAGAGCTGTAAGTATAAGTTTTGCAGATACAGATCTACTTCGCATAGCTGAACAAAAAATAATTATGACATTTCAAATGACAAAAGTAAGTTGTATTCGGTGCCTCTATCGTAATTTCAGGCGATCAATCTTCCCTTTTTAATTGACACAAACTCATCATCTTGATCGCTTGAAATATTTGAAATAGTTCGACCTCATTTTCATTGTTAATGTTTACTTTCTCGGACAACCTCTTTTCGATACTTTCTTTCGCCAAGTTTTCATATAGCTGATATTCGCAGCAACATTCCAATCGATTTGATTGCTTCGATCAACGTCTGTGATGGAACTTTCCAATTCTTTCACTAATTCAACAGCTTTACTAACAATACGATTTCTCTAACGATAAAGTAAAGGAAGCTACGTTGCCCTAAATCACCCCGATAGTGGACCAACGTCCCAGGATTAATTTATGCTAATTTACGATCTGCAAATATCCATAGTCCGTACCGACACCGAATTCACGTAACCCACGTCGACGTACAGCATACAGCTGAAGAGAGATGATAGTTCAACATACAGCTGAAGAGAAATAATAGTTCAGCATACAGCTGAAGAGAGACACTAGTGACTGTGTCACATCTGTATTGAATTTTCTATCGAAATAGTATCGTGTAGGCATCTTTACTCTTCCCACACTACAATTCGAAGATAAAGCGTTGATTATTATGACGTCAGAGCATCGGTCACAACCACCGATATTCCCTTGGTGCTAGTAATGACCGCTCAACGGCCAAGTTTTGTCCGATTCTGAGCTTCTGATTCCAACGAATCTCTGCGTGGGTTGGGGTTTTAATTCCAAGCTCGAATCATCCCATTGTTTGCTACCAAATCTGCCATCGTACATACACATTTAGGCTCTTTCAAAAGAGCCTCCCCAACGCGTTATCTCTGGAAACGTAAATTCTTTCTCGTACAGAGTGATTCGTGCGGCAGTAAACAGATAAGTTAAAAGTCCCTATTCTGAAACGCTTTCCGGGAGGGTATAAGATTTTCATCGATTTTATTACAGCTTAAGACTAGTATCGTTGAATATTTACACTACTGTTCGATTGATTGATGTTTCTCGATAATGTAATAAACTTAGAAATATATATTTTATACGAATAAAAAATGTTGCGAGTAAGCTAGAAAGGTAGGAGTATGTACCCATAATTGTGGGCCACCGTTTTCGTATCATGACCCCGTGATCCATTTTAAATGCCTGTTCCAAAATAGGGACACTGAATGTGACACGCGGATGCCAACTGTTCCATAAATCGTGACAATGAAAAAATTGTTTTTGCGTAGAAACTTCCGTATTCGGTTAAACATTTATTTTTGACAGCTGATTGTTAAATAACTATATATATAAAAATATAGTTATATTTTATATATATAAAAATATAGTTATATTTTATGTATATAAAAATATAGTTATATTTTATATATATATATAAAAATATAGGTAGAATTTTTACATCCACTTTCATATGCCCTACCTATCTATCATAATTCGTACTTTTACCTTTCCATTGAAGATATCCATTCGGTGTATGTATGTATTCTTATTTTGAACACAATAGAGTAACATAGATCTCTGACAGTGTACTTTGAAGTATAAAAAAAAATGTATTAATTCTCGTTTATGGCTTTCAGGTTTGGACAAATTAGCCAGCGCGGAGGTCGAGGTGAAGAACATGCAGGAGCTGCTGGCAGCGATGAAGCCGCAGCTGGAGAAGGCAGCGGAAGCCACGGCTCAAATGATCGAAAGGATTACCGTCGACACTGTCAGTGTCGCTCGGTGACTTTTTGATTTCGAATGAAATTGTGCACTTCAGTGAGAACGATCATTATTATCGGTAGGTAGAAGCGGAGGAAACCAGGCAACAGGCGAAGGACCAAGAAGCTATTGCTACCAGGATGAAGATGGAAAACCAGGCAATCAGGGATGAAGCTGAAGCCGATTTGAGTACGTTTAATTGAGTCAGAAAATATATCCGAACCTTAGAATTCTATCGCCAGGTTCGTGTTAAACGTTACCTTAAATGTAGGTCTCCAATCGCTTTATTACTTTCCCTTCAAAAGCTGCCAAATGTAAAGACAAAAGAAACAAGAAAACGTGTCATTAATAGACTGCGGATCTTCATGCAAAATACAAATTTCACGCGTTTGTTGCAAAAAATAGGAGTAACTTAAATGTTTCATTCTTTCCTTATAAATTTTAGTAGGTCGACAGTAATATACAGTACTGACGCTCAGATTGTCCACGAAAATGGACAATTTGGGAAGAAGAGATCGGATTATTCGAACTTTGCGGCTCGTTTTTATAATTGTTGACGATTCGTAACTGTAAAGATAAACCGCAAGGCTCGAATAATCGTATCTCCTCTTCGCAAATTGTCCATTTTTGTGGTCAATCTGGGCGTCAATTAGAGAGAATTCACCGTACTAAGACAAGTAATGAATCGCGGCGATGGAAATTTTGAATTCGCAGGATCGAATTTTGTTTGGATTTATGCATTTGTTCGCTTTGCGCCTCGACTTCTTTCTCAGCCACGTTGATTAGTTCTTCTTCGTCACTAATAAATAATATCACTAAAAAATGGACAATTTGGGAAGAGGAGATACGATTATTCGAACTTTGCGGCTCGTTTTTATAATTGTTGACGATTGGTAACTGTAAAGATAAACCGCAAGGCTTGAATAATCGTATCTCCTCTTCGCAAATTGTCCATTTTTGTGGTCAATCTGGGCGTCAATCAGAGAGACATTACTGTATTGACGTTATCAAATGTTTATAATCCTTCTACTGTTTGACATTACAAATTCTCATTGTTACCATGAATGTATAAAATCCACAGCTTAGTCATTAGTTTCCACAAACGTCCACAAACTGCAGACATATCGAACACGAAAAACTCTCTGAAACTGCGAATAAAGCTTGCTTCGTATTCGAATATAATTGAACTAGTTTGCACAAACATCCGCAAACGATAACGATCCGATAAATTTGGTAGGCGAGGCACGACCGATGCTGATCGCGGCGGAGAAAAGCCTCAAAGCCTTGAACAGGAACGACATCACCGAGGTGAAAGCGATGAAACGTCCACCTGTTGGCGTGCTTCTGGTCATCGAGACGATTTGCATTATAAACAATGTGAAACCGATCAAGGTTTGTTACGCGGGCCTCGGCATCGAGCATTTCCGCTCGAATATGGATGTGCATATACATACGTATAGAAATCGGTTGACCTTGATAATGACCTTAATTTTTACATCTTTCAATGGCTGTAGCTTGACTATGCGTCGACCGATTTTGATGAAGTTTTCAGTATGCATATAAGTTGCCGAGATCTACGAAATGCATTTGTTAAATTTTCGTCGTAGGCTCAGATAAAACAAGTTGGGAAAACATCATTTTTTCATTCTTTTATCATACCAACAAATTGTAATTTTTGAAAATCATTGTTTAGCCTTTGTCTAGTGAACTAATCACTCTAACATCGCCAAAAGAATTTAGACCAATTATAATGATATATAATGATATATAAGGTGTACGAATAATTTTTAACACCCTCTGTATCCGAGCTGAGCTAGCTGACACGTTATTTGAACTTTCGAGGCAACGTTCATCCGACCGAGCGATGTTTTTGTATTGTGGCGAGTCCGCGCGTGTAAATCGCTCCACTTCTCGTAGAGCGATCCCGGGAAATTCGGCAAGGATGAAGTGAAGTTGGATTATTGGACGCCTGGCAGCCAAATGCTCAGCGATCCCGGCTACTTTCTGAACACTATGGAGAATTACGACAAAGAAAATCTGACAGCGGAGATGATCAATAAGCTGAAGGTCTACATAGAAGATCCGAATTTCCAGCCGTCGAAGGTACGCCGCGATTCGAATAGATTTCGCGTCTATCTTATTAGTTTGAAAATCGGAGACCTGCAATTTTTGAAAACCAGAAAAGTGAACATCGCTAATTTTGTAAACATGCACTGACCGAAATAATGATAAATTCATCTGATTTTTGTGATATGCCAGAGTGCTTTACGTAACATTTCTGTGCTTTGTTATTAGTAGATGGCTTGTTACAATGCATTCAATGAAACACATAATTATTCAAACGATATAATTTTTATTCATATGGTTATTATATCAATATGACAGAAGTTTGGAAATTTTGTGCGAAACGAATGTGGTAGGTTCGCTTAATATTATTGTATCTGTATTAAAATAGTTATCGTATGTTCATTCAGATATTAAAACGGTAAAGAATTTCATACTCTGTAAATTCCCATTCAATTATCGCTGGAGAATGCCAAAAGTATTCTGAAACTGTTCAAGTTTCTCGGGGAATTTAATCAAGTTCCAAGTATTTGATTGATCACCGCTGATGCCGGTGATAAAAGGTTGTGTGTAATAGATTGTATAAGTAATTACTTTGCTCCCTTTAACAAGTTCACAGTAAAGCAGAACTCGTGCCTCTCATGAAATACTGCATTTCATGCAAATATCCCAGCGTAATACATTAATAATGGAAGCAAACACGACGAGAAAGGCACAATAAGGCAAAATACGAATATTATTATACTTGCACGCTCTTAATTTATTCAATGTAATTCTATGTACGTTCACCTCGAATTCTTTCATCAACTAATTTGAGCAGCATTGCATAAAGGGCACGTTCTTTTCTTTTTAATTGTAACTGTGCTACTTCTTTTTATACTTGATTTCAATGTGACAAATCCATCGCAGAATTCTATACATTTCTAGTATAGTAAAACCTTTTAAAAATTGTACTTTATGCGATTTAGTAGAATTCAATACTGACAGAGAAACGGTAATACAGACAGTGTACGCGTGTAATCATATGTACTTATACATAGGGTGTCTCCAAATTAAGGTACTCCTGGAAAATGAGAAGTTCCTGAGCTCATTTGAAGTAACTTTTTCTTTAGCGAAAATGCAAACCGCGGCTTCGTTTACGAGTTATTAACGAAAAACAGTGACTAATGAGAAGCGAGCTCGGCTGGCGCAAGACACGAGCGAAGTCTAGTTCTGCTCATTGGCTCGACCGCCTAGCGCCAGCTGATCCCACCTCTCATTGGTCACTGTTTTGCGTTAATAATTCATAAACAAAACAGCAGACTGCATTTGCAATCTGCTAAGGGAAAAGTTACGTCAAATGACCTCGCGAACCCCTCATTTCTCGGAAGTACCATAATTTTGGGACACCCTGTATGCTTTCGCATAGTGCGGCGGAAGAAGCCTCAATCGCTGGGAACCGACCAGCAGGTCTATTCACGTTTACCATATCACGTTTGTCAATAGAACCCGGCATACGCATTTGAAATCTCTGCATTTAGGAGAATAATTAGCGTATAGCCATCGATCAGTTAAACTGACAGGGAGATTCCAGGCTAAATAACGTTCACCTGCCAGATTCAATACGTCTCGAAGGCCTGCCATTCGCTGTGCCTGTGGGTGCACGCAATGTACAATTACTACTTCGTGAATCTGAAAGTGAAACCGAAGATGGAGGCATTGGCGAAGGCCGAGGAGGCGCTCGTAGAAACTGAGAGGGCGTTACAGGCCGCCGTGGAAAAGCTGAGAGAAGTCGAGGAGGGTATCGACAAGTTGCGGAAGCTTCTTCAAGCAGAGGAGGAGAGAAAAGCGGAGCTCGAGAGACAAAAGCAGCTTTGCGAGGATCGAATGGCAAGGGCCGTTCGGCTGGTTGTCGGCCTCGCCGGCGAACAGATACGCTGGAAGATCTCTGTTGCCGGCATCGTTGTGTCCTTGAAGAACGCTGTCGGTGATATCCTGCTCGCTTCCGGTACGACGGACTCTTCTTTAGTCATTCTCACCTTCTTTTCGCTCGATACGACCATTTTAGTAATTGTTTGGTGAGAGCTGTGTTGTCTAAATTAAAGCCGAAATATCGCAGAATTAAGAGACAGAACAGGATTCGGATGAGCTGACCTTCCTTAAAAATCGTATTTATTTCGTTGAACAATGTAACTTTCTACCTTTGCACTCAGATCTCGCCGATATGGCATCTCTGAATGATTATTTTTCAATTCATTTTTTTTTTTAGTCATGTAAAATATATACGTAAGAACATAAAATCTTTTATTTATTGACTCCTATGAAATTTCACAGTAGTACAATGATTTTTGTTTCAATTCAACTTCGTATTGCAAAATCGCAATTTTTACAAAATTTGCCAAAATTGCTAGTTGGTATATCAGAAAAATCTTCCGAGTGCTAAGGGCTAATACTAACAGAAATACTGAACAAGTTAGTTATTCGTTCACGAAAAATTCTGTTTAAAAAATGGATCATGGACGTTTCCCATCTGATTTTCATGATGCAATTTCGTAATACTGTTCTTAGGAAGATTCAGCGATTTCGTAATACTGTGTTCTTAGGAAGATTCAGCGATTTCATAATTTACATTCAAACCAGAGCTCGATGAATAATTTATTGATCATTATCGTTGAAAATGTAGTAATTAATCGCTACTGCAACGAACAGTTCCCGAATACTTCTAGCCGAAATAGAAATTTGAAATGATTTATTAACCTATACCGTCTGGAGATGGAACCGTTCGAGCGAAAACGGACATATTCTACTTAAAAACGTGCCTGACCGATAGCTATCCTATTCTACTTGATGTACTTAAACTGTCGCTTCACGATTGATTTTATTCGACAGCGAAGATTAATGATAAATTCAAATGTATTCAATTATTGTTATTACAATTATTTCAATTGTTATTAAACTACACGAGCGTGCAGAACAAAATTCAAAAACAAGCGCCCGCTTGCTTGTGACAATAAAAAGCAGGCGCGTATTAAAAGTATGAAGCTTGCATTCAGCAGCTTTAAATCTTTTACAAAAATATGGAATTCAAATACTGTCCTCAGTTTTTAAGCTAGCATTTATCGAGCAAAACATTTTCCATTTGTGGATGGAAAATAAATCGACGAGAGTGCAGAGACAACGTAAAAGGAAATTTCGTTCTCGTGAAAATATGAAATATTTCTGTATATTAAAAACATTTGTGCTTCTCAGTTTACATTCGGCAATTGTATTGCGCGATATGCAGGATGGTTTAAACAGTTATAAAACGAAGAGTAATCTCTGCGATTGTTCCAATCTCTCGCCTGAAGTATTATTTTAATCCAGCTCTCGGGGGGGGGGGTTAAACTCCCCGCTATTTGATTCCGAATCAAGATCGTACCATGTTTCACTGGCTCGCGTCAAGGCTGTCACGCCAAGCGTCTGATCAATTACTATCACATTCTACTTATAACCGCTGGAACGTCCTATCCACTTACCCGATCGAAATGAATCTTGAGCTTTTTGCACGGAAGCTTTTTCTATTTTAGCAACGCTGCCACGTTCTAGCTTTCACATTTCTCGCATTTATTTTGCACAGAACTGCGGTCCAACCGTCAGGGAATTACGGGAAATAATATCGATCATTAACTAGACTGCGCATTTTATGCACTTAACAACGTACAGGTGGAACACAAAACGGCGGAAAGATTACAGTAATGTCTCCCTAACTGGCGCTAAGATTGTGCACAAAAATGGACAATTTGGGAAGAGGAGATAGGATTATTCGAGCCTTGTAGTTCGTTTTTATAGTTGTTGACAATTCGTAGCTATAAAAACGAACCGCAAGGCTCGAATAATCGTGTCTCCTCTTCTGAAATTGTCCATTTTTGCTTCCAAGCTGAGCATCAATTAGGGAGAATTTACTGCATTAGATACGTGACCCACCGAATCGTGGCATGTGGCCTCCGAATTGCCTTCGAATCGTGGCATGTGGCCTCCGAATTGCCTTCGAATCGTGGCATGTGGCCTCCGAATTGCCTTCGAATCGTGGCAAAAAATTAGAAATAAAAAAGTTAGGTCATCGTTTTTATTCTAGTGCTACTATGTACAGTAAATTCTCCCTAATTGACACTTAGATTCTGCAAAGAAATGTACAATTTGGGAAGACGCGACACGATTATTCGAGCCTTGTAGTTCGTTTTTATAGTTGTTGACAATTCGTAGCTATAAAAACGAACCGCAAGGCTCGAATAATCGTGTCTCCTCTTCTGAAATTGTCCATTTTTGCTTCCAAGCTGAGCATCAATTAGGGAGAATTTACTGCATTAGATACGTGACCCACCGAATCGTGGCATGTGGCCTCCGAATTGCCTTCGAATCGTGGCATGTGGCCTCCGAATTGCCTTCGAATCGTGGCAAAAAATTAGAAATAAAAAAGTTAGGTCATCGTTTTTATTCTAGTGCTACTATGTACAGTAAATTCTCCCTAATTGACACTTAGATTCTGCAAAGAAATGTACAATTTGGGAAGACGCGACACGATTATTCGAGCCTTGTAGTTCGTTTTTATAGTTGTTGACAATTCGTAGCTATAAAAACGAACCGCAAGGCTCAAATAATCGTGTCTCCTCTTCTGAAATTGTCCATTTTTGCTTCCAAGCTGAGCATCAATTAGAGAGACATTACTGTATAAGGCTTTAAGAACGCTGTTGCATTATTTTCAACACATTAGACGTATTAAGAAAGAAAATGAACTGCTATGTTACTTCAATTTATTGCAATTCAGATAGACAATATTTATTTCGCGTAAAGTCCCGCAGTCTAATCATTACGAATCACTCTACGATTCCGATCGTTCTCGGTCGGGGGTGGCAGACTACCCCTTTGAGTAAACAGAAAACGTGGACTCGATTAGGAGTGCCCGAGACTCGATTACCTCCTCGGCTTTTTCCAATCGTTTTTCACCTCGGACAGGGGCGATAGCTTACTTGACGCCGTTCACGGACACGTATCGAGCCAGCCTATTGAGTTCCTGGCAAAAACTGCTGGAGGGCGTGCCTCACACGCCGGGCAGCGACCCGGTCTCCACGCTCGGTGATCAAGTGGAGATAAGAAGATGGCAGATCGAGGGCTTACCCAGGGACAGCCTGTCCGTGGAGAACGCGGTCCTGGCGATGCGTTCGAGCCGATGGCCCCTCTTTATCGACCCCCAAGCACAGGCGAACAAGTGGATACGTTCGTTGGTGAGTCCGAGCGTTACCTATATACCATATACATATACTTATATACGTCCCTATTCCCGTTGTCGTGTCATGGCGTTTGAAAAATGCGAAAAAAGCTAAGCTTGATTTATACCCTTGCCGCCTATGCATACAAACTACAGTCCTTCGTAAAAAGGAAAACACAGAGCGGCAAGGGTGGAAATCCCTGTGAAACGTCAGAGATCCGCTTGTCCTTTCGCCGCGTACACAGTGGCGAGCATGTAAATAAAGAAACACACACAATATGAAATAACTGGAGTGTGGACTTCTGTGCAAAATAAATATTATCTGCATTAATTGTAATATACAGAAGCTGCAATAGTATTTTCAAATTCTTCAAATGTTTTTGTCGTAAATGCATGAAATCAGGGAATAACATTTCTAAAAGAGTGGACCAAATGACTTGAATTTGTTGAGATGTTAGGCCGACTAGATCGTCGGAGAATGATTAAACGAAATTGTTTTTAGATTTCAATTGATTGGGATGGGGAAAAAATTACAAAAATTATAGACATGCTGTTGTCCTATTAACACGTTAAACGCCGTATCAGTCATCGGCGACCGACACTATACCTTCCATAAAAGTCATCGGTGACTCACGATATACAATTTAAAATGTTATATTCTTTTATTAACACGTTAAGCGCCAAGCCTGTGTTTTGCCATCCTTTCCGTTTAGCCCGCGTTTCATAACTTTGATCGCCAAATTATTTACAATTAATTTATATAGAAGAATGTATGTTTTTAAATTTTATATCATATAAATTAATTAAATTAATTAATTAAATTATGTTATAAATTTTAAATAATTTAGAGATTGTAATAGAATGTAGCTAAATATATTACTTGTTACCAAAAGAATGGGTATTATTAAAGTTCGTGCAAAAATTGCATACGGCTCATGTGCGGATATTCTTTCCTTCTTTCGGAATGTAAATATCATAGGGCAAACTAACTAATTAAGAATCGTGTAATTAAAAGACTGTACATACTTGCCTAATCGAGAAAAGGGACCTTTTACAAGACCTTTTACGAAGGGATTTTCACGAAAAATACCGGAGCTTCGCCTTCGCTTAATTATCATGCAATTAAACGTGAGTCTAGAAATAAACATACTCGAAGCGCAGCCATCGAGTTTATTCGGTGTTTTCTTCGATGATACGCTGAATCCTGCGGCCTGAACCTGCCGCATTTTCAAACTCTCGTATCCTGCGTACTACTATCAGTCACAATACATATTTAATACATCCGATCCATTAAAACTTTACTTAATTACGTACAACAGGTAACTAATTTCCGTTGCCATACTTCAAAATCTCGTCGCGTTAGCGCGAAAGCTTTGTCGATATAAAATTCTTTTATTATCTATACTATATTATATTATAATATATTCTATTCTATTATATAAAATATTATATTATAATATATTATATTCTATTATATAAAATATTATATTATATAAAAATGGATGGATAAAATTGAAGACAATAAAAAGATTCAAAGAAACTAGAAATATCGATACACTAATTTCAACATCTTCTACTCTCTATTCCTACATCTTGCAATCGATGGAAAAAAATTTTAATTTGCATAAAGATCCGCAGTCAAATCATTAGATTTTACGATCGCTGTTTTACTCGACAATTTCTTGCTTTCATCGCCAGTTAAATTTCATGCAGCAATTTTCCTCGTCGCGTATGATCGACATAATTTTCCTTCTTTTGAGGAATAAGTTCCCGAGTTTGCTGAAGTAACGCAAGTTATGCTAGCTAAAAGGTTGAAGTAATACCAGCGCTGGTGCGACATTCAGCAGAAAGATATTTTTGACACGTTCTAATATCCCTCTTTGGTATTGTTATAGTACAAAGAACAAGGGATATCCGTCGCAAAGATGGCGGACAAGGACATTCTTCGAGTTCTGGAGTCCTGCGTCCGGTTCGGTAGAGCTTGCCTCATCGAGAACGTCGGTCTGAACCTCGAGGCCGGCTTGGACCCTATACTGATGCGATCATTGTTCGAGCACGGTGGACAAATGTGCGTCAAGATAGGCGAGAACATCGTCCCTTATAAGACTGACTTTCGTCTGTTCATGACGACGAGGCTCGCGAACCCTCGTTACACTCCGGAAACGTCGGTGAAGATCCTGCTGGTCAACTTCGCGCTCACAGTAACGTGAGCCGCCAATTTGTTTCATTAAGCAAGAGCAATCCTGCGAAATCATTTAATCCTGCGGAAATCAACTAGCGCTAGTTTTTAAGATTGCGTTTTGAAAATATGTGTGTTTAGAAATTAATTTTCTAATCATATTTTTAAGTTTTCGTAGCTATCATCAGAGCGTGAAATCCATGAAATGATAGGTCAGTATCAGATAGCACAAGTATGTGAACACTCATTCATTTGCGTTACGTCAGTGCACAAATTAAACCGAATATTTTAAGAAAATTAATAGAAGCATTAAGAAGCAAAAATATTTCAGCTCGTTATCTTTGTGAAAGTTACAATGTTTTTTGTACTGCTATTTCCGTTGCGTTAGCTTGAAACAATTCTTAGAATATTCACGAGACAATTTGTAGGCCGGCACAACATAAATGAACGAGTGTACAGAAACCTGTGCTACCTTACACTGATCTACCGTTTCATTTCGAGATACTTGTGCATGAAAGATGGCTCCTCGAAGCGTCTCGAAATTGAATAATCCGAATAACTGCCGAGGTGATTGGATTCGTTCTTTTTTTGCCGCGTGTCTCATTTGAGCTGTCCTTGTTGAAAGTAGTCCGATCGGTAAAAATTACGAATTCACGGATCGTAAAGCTCGCATTTCGGTTTTAAAAGCGGCTTGGAGGATCAAGTGCTCTCGTTGGTCGCGATTCAAGAGCGCCCGGATCTCGAGCAGGCCAGGAACGCGCTGATTATATCGAACGCCGAGATGAGGAACGAGCTGTTAGAGATCGAGGACAGAATCTTGTATAGGCTCTCGTTGTCAGAGGGCTCGGCCGTCGACGACATCGATTTGATTCTCACCCTGGAGGCTTCCAAAGTCAAAAGCGAGGAGATCAAGGTACGATGTAGCACCGCGCCGGTGTTCGATCTCATGGCGATCTATTCCTATACCTAAATCTAATTTCTCGATCCATCGAAGTTGTCCAAGGAAGGAAAATTTGTTGTTCGTCAACCTCGCGTTCGATGACTGCCGTCCTCTCTAACAAGGACAATCGCGTAACCTTCGAAATTAATAAAAATTTCGATACTTTTCATACGAATAAACGTCGTCCATAATATACAAAAAATCGTACGTTTGCATATTGGTACCATGATTCGGTTTTAGCGGACATAGTCACTTATCGAAATGTTCACTCATCAATTTTCAAATTACAAAAATCACCACTAAATTATGTAAAAGAAATTTTTGAAAAATTCATGGCTTTCCAGTTGATCAAAATTTGTATCATATTTGAAAATTAATCGAAAAACATATGACATCGTTTCTTGTTTCCTGATAGAGAAGACCGAAATTGCACTCTATTCCGATAGAAGGCTATTGTAAATCTCGGGTCACCCTCTTGCGAAAATCAGACCATAACGCAGTTTTAACACGTTTCTTATAAGGTGAAAATGCAAGAAGCGGAGATCACTCAGGCGGACATCGAAACTACGAGGTCTATGTATATCCCGGTCGCGATCCGGGGACAGATACTTTTCTTTTGCCTTGCCGACCTGCAGCACATCGATACGATGTACCAGTATTCGTTGGAATGGTTCGTCGAGATCTTCAACAACAGCGTCCAGGCGACCGAAAAGAGCGGTATTTTAAAAGTTATTCGATTTTTGCACTCGAACAATCACTTTGATCGCTAACATTGTCCAATCGATTTTAGCTTTTCTTTAGATTCCTGCGAAATTTTTGCTGTACATGCTATACTATAATTTTTCGTCTCTGCCCGACTCTTCCGAGCACATGCGATATCTTTATTACCATGTTTCAACATTTAAACAGTCTGGAACGACGCTCGAAGCAAATGGGGAAAAGAATTTGTTTGAACATGTTCCAAGGTCTCTACAGCGTTATTAAAGGAAAACAAACGCTATTGTATGCGGAAACGTATTGTGCGAAAAATATTTGCATAACTTTCGCAGTGGAAGCAGCAAAATTGTTTAACACTAAATCCACCACACTGATTTTTCATTTTTCATTTAAAAATGATCGAGATTGCACAGATTCTTTCTTAAGAATCGATTGAATTAATTTCTTCATTCAAGTATACATTATGATAAAAATGAGAAGAGATCTAAATAAATAAATTCAGTCTTGTAATTTTTAATAAGCAACGCAAGTTTCTCAGTTTTATTGATCGGTAAGTTTAGTGTTAAACTCGGGAAAGTGACACTCTTCTTCGTAATTAGATTTTTAAAAAGTCGAAAGCCGCTCGAGAGAAACAATTTCGAAAATCATAGAAGAATCGTTTATTGGCGACCGAAACATTCGTTTCGAACAGTGCGATACGACAATTAATATTTATGATGCTATGGGGTTGAACAGAGGAAACTGGTCGGCGTCGCATCCCGATTTGTTGTGTCCTCTGTCTCACGGCTCTCGTTCTTACTCCTTGATCCCGAAGGACAAAGCCAAGCTAGGGGTGGTATCGTGATAAAAACTTGAATCGCTATCACGAACGAAATTCGTGTTTAATATGTTCCCGAAACACCATGTCATATCTCCTCGAACTTTTATTAAAGATTACAGTCGACCGCGCATCGTCGCCTCGAACTCAGCTTCGCGCTCGAACGAGCACTTTCCTTGCTGAATACGATTTCAAGTTCATTCTTGCTTCTGTTCTTTTATTTTGTTAAAAATATTGCAGTAATTTCTCCAGGAAATGCCAAATTTCGGGTAGCCGTGAATTTCCCTGTGCTAGCCCTACGCCTATGTAATTTATTGTTACGTCGATGCTAAGGGTCGACGGAAGTTCCCGGAAGACAACACAAAATTGTTTGTTTGGGCATGAGTCTGGTATGAAAAACTGTGGAGCTACAAGGTTATTATCCAGCCTTGCGGCTCGTTTTTATAGTTGTTGACAATCGGTAACTATAAAAACGAGCCGCAAGGCTCGAATAATCGTATCTCCTTTTCCCAAATTGCTGTCTCTTATACACATCTAGATGTGTATAAGAGACAGATTCGAGGCTTGCAGCTCGTTTTTATAGTTGTTGACAATCGGTAACTATAAAAACGAGCCGCAAGGCTCGAATAATCGTATCTCCTTTTCCCAAATTGTCCATTTTTGCTTCCAAACTGAGCATCAATTAGGGAGAATTTACTGCACTAGGTACGTAACCCATCGAATCGTGGCATGTGGCCTCCGAATTGCCTTCGAATCGTGGCATGTGGTCTCCGAATTGCCTTCGAATCGTGGCAAAAAAATTAGAAATAAAATAGTTAGGTCATCGTTTTTATTCTAGCACTACTATGTACAGTAAATTCTCCCTAATTGACGCTCAGATTCTGCAGAAAAATGTACAATTTGGGAAAAGGAGATGCGATTATTCGAGCCTTGCAGATCGTTTTTGTAGTTGTTGACAGTCGGCAATTACAAAACCGAGCCGCGAGGCTCGACGAATCGCGGCATAGTATTCTCAGATCTGCCGGTTTCAATTCCGGTCTCCGAACATTTCTGAGAGAAATCACTATACTTATACTTTGTCCTCTTTATTTACTGAACGACAGTATCTGTAATATCCGGCACCCAATCCCCAAGTAAAATCGCGTCAAACACATTCACGAAACATTTAATGAGAAAACTGTGTCAATAATTCCTGTATTTGTTCCTGCAGCTAATCATCTGCTGGAGCAGATGGCGTTTCCTTTCGTATACTTGCAACAGAAAACATTAATTTGATTCCCGTGGTCGTTGCAGCGAACATCGAGGAGCGGGTCTCGAATATAAACCGAAAATTCACGTTCTCCCTGTTCACGAACGTCTGCCGCAGCTTGTTCGAAAGGCACAAATTGCATTTCGCGTTCCTGGTCTGCGCGCGGATTCGCATGAACGAGAAATTAATCGATCCGCTCGAGTGGAGGCATTTATTGGCCGGTCCTGAGCCGCTCTCGGTAAAACCGTTTCTAATCCATTGCCGCTAAACTAATTCAGAAAACTGTTTTACAAACAAGCCTGCCGATATTTCTTGTTATGGTGAGATGATAACCTCCCCCGAGCAACTCAACTGTGATTTTTTGTCGGCGAGTAATCTCCGAAAGTACAAAAATATTGAAACGTCGATGTAACACGCGTACATGAAATATCGGTGTAGATGCAGAAGAAGAGCCGCAGCTGCGAAATTTATCACTGGTATAAAGATTTCCCCGGTGTTTTCCCCATAGGATGAGCCGAATCCGTCGCCAGATTGGATCACGCCACGATGCTGGAAAGAAATCCAGGCGCTCGAGAACCTTGCAAACTTCAAGACTTTCATCGAGTCATTCCGGAATTCGCTGGGCCAGTTCAGAAATGTGTTCGACGCGCAGGAGGCGCATCTGTGAGCGAACCACCCGCTTACCGTAACCCTTTGATGATAACTAACGAAATTCCAGTACCGTTTCCGGGGCTGCTTAAATTTTTATATAATTTCACATCAACAAAACGTGGAAATTCCCTTTGGAATTTTGAAAGTTTAATTTCGGTTTGCGATCTCAATCTCTAGCTGTCCGAAAAAAGCTATCTGTAAACATTTTAAGGTTTCCCAGATTGTCAACAACTGTGAAAAAATGCCGCGAGGCGCAAACAATCGTATCGTCTCTTCCCAAATTCTCCATTTTTGTTTCAAAACTGAAGGAAAATTAACGAGAATTTACTGTATTTCGAAACGTTTCTCGATTCCAGAGCCCCGTATCCGGAGCCATGGGCCTCGAAGCTGGACGACTTCCAGCAGATGCTGGTCCTGAAGTGTCTGCGACCTGACAAGGTGACGAACGCGATGCAGATGTACCTGGCGAAACACCTGGGACGCGAATTCGTCGAGCCGCAAACCACAGAGCTGAGCGCCGTTTATAACGAGTCCTCGTCAACTACGCCAATCGTCTTCATCCTCTCCGTGGGCACCGATCCTGCGGCAGAGCTCTACAAATTCGCCGACAGGCTGAAAATGGGCACAAAACTGTTCGCCATATCCCTCGGTCAAGGCCAAGGTCCCCGTGCTGAAGCCATGATGAGGATGTCCGCGGATCAGGGCAACTGGTGTTTCTTCCAGGTAACATTTTGCTTGGACCAGGATGTTTCATTCATGCGTGGAATACCATTCATCTGTTTACACTCCGTTATTTACAATTTGAATTCCACATCATACAGATGATCAAATAATTCGTTACAGAAAAATAAATAAATAATATAATAATAATAATAAAATATAATAATAATAATAAAATATAATAATAATAATAAAATAAATAATAATATAATAATATAATAAATAAATAGCATCGCATATACAGTATGGTCCAAAAGGATTTTGGTACAAAATGTTTGAAACGAAAATTGAACAGAGCACACGTTAACATAATTAATATTTTTCTGTATTGCTTTTCTACCGATATTTGACGATCACCTTGAATTGTTTAATCATAGTGTATAAAATTTCACTGTACCGCTCTGGAAAGACTATGTAAAAGTAAATAAGAAACTAAAAGACAACGTGGGTCCAAAATCCAATACTAACCAAGTTAACTTGTGTTCAAAATAGTTAATGCTCAACGCAAGCATATTGATCGGAATATTGGCAACATTTTGAACATCTTCCAAATACAGAAAAATATTAATTATATCAGCGTATGTCCCACGTTCTATACCCTACAACTTTTGTTTAGAACATTTTTCTGTAGGAGAAACGGTTTCCGTGCAATTTAGGTGACAGATCTCGCTGGACCACTTAGATAATATTCACAAAGATGGACAATTTGGGAAGAGTAGATACGATTATTCGAGCCTTGCGGCTTGTTTTTATAATTGTTGACAATTCGTAACTATAAAAACGAACCGCAAGACTCCTCTTCCCGAATTGTCCATTTTTGTGGACAATCTGAGCGTCGATTAGAGAGACATTACTATATACGAGGTAGTCCCACATTATGGGAACGTCGTGAAACAATTTAAGTAGCATGGCGGAGCATTAGGAAATTCGCGAACTTTTCGTTCGCATTTTGTTAGCGTTACGTATTTGTGAAACGTCCTACGAAAATCGGTGGTCGGATTTCGCGTGAAATGGAAGCCTCTTGATGTCCCGTGGCAAAAAATATCGCGATCGTCTATCAAGGAAGCGTTCTCGTTTAAGAAGGGACGAAAAGAAAGGCGCTGAAACAGGTAGAGCGACCGAGAGAAATAAATATGGGATAAAAAGAGGGAGAGGAAAGAGGATATTTTCCGACGTGACAAGAAAGATGTCAGAGGAGTGGTGGAATATATGCAAAGAGGAAATGATTGATCAAATCGTTGCATGGGGCTGCCGGTTGACGGTTGATAGCGAAACGAAAGGAGTTGGAGGAATGGATTCATCTCGAAATAGAGCTGTGGACGAAGCGCGTGTGTAGAGAAGTCGGGCAATGTATTCTTTCCATAGACGTTTCTGGGGATGTAGAGGGCCAATCACATTTTCGTGTCGCGTTCCATCGCGTCATTGCCAAATGGTGTGTGGACGAGGATTCTATTAACGGACTTCCGGTAGACCAAATGTTAATCTGATTGGAAGAACGGTGTCCTTACAGAACTGCCACTTGGCCCCGAGTTGGATGCCAGAACTGGATACGTTGGTAGAAGCTCTGTCAAGAGGTAAAAGCCACCGAGACTTCCGGTTATGGCTAACCTCTGCTCCTTCACCAGACTTCCCAGTGAGCATCCTCCAAAACAGCAGCAAAATGACGATCGAGCCTCCGCGTGGCATAAAGGCAAGGAAGCACATTATTCAAGTGCATTGTTAGCCTTTTCGGTACGAGCGCCGGATATATCCGGCATCCATCTGATGACCAATATGGACGAGTGCCGCATACATCTGGCATCCATGTAAGCCATATATTTCTGTAGGCCCTTTACAGAATGTTTACAGGAAACATTTAAAGAAAGATTTAGAAACGGATTAAGCACAGTCATTACTTAACGCTTAAGAAAATCTTCGTACAAAAGCGGACTGACCCTGCGTTATGTGCGCATTTTCGGCGCGGCACCCCGTACAGTGGGAGTGTCACGGCGGACAACACGCTCGTTCCGAAAGGGCTAATATTCTGCTCTATTCGAAAACATCATATTTCTCTTAATATTATATTTATATTTCTTATTTGTAAGAAATCCTGTTAAGTTCTGTTATAAGAGTTCATAAGAATACTCCTTGTTCGCTTCTGTCAGGCGAACATGCTCCGAGCGTTCCTTACCCAAGTACTCGAGATGCAAATGTTCCTTGAATCTGGTCATCCGAAAGTCTCGCACTTCAAGTGGTTGGTATTTGCTCTGGGGCTGTTCCACTCGGCTCTTCTGGAAAGAAGGAAATTCGGGCCATTGGGTTTCAATATACCGTACGAGTTCACCGACGGCGATTTAACCATATGCGTCTCGCAACTGCACATGTTCCTTCTAGAGTACGACACGGTGCCGTTCAAGGTCGGTCCAGTTCAATCGCATTCTTACTCTTTCCGTTTTTTCATGAAACGAATCTCATTGGAGAAGAATGGCAGTTAGGATAGCACAATTAACTTCGTCTTAATTCGAAAGGTGCTGATATACACTGCCGGTCACATCAACTACGGTGGACGAATCACGGACGACTGGGATCGTCGATGCGTTCTGACCATTCTCGAAGACTTCTACAAACCGGAAGTTCTCTCGCCGGCTTACGTGTTCGACGAGGCTGGATGCTATTACCAAGTAACCAAGCTACACAGTTTGCATCTCACGCGCGTTTGAGAAAGTTTGTCCGTCCTACTTTCTTCAACTCAGCGGGGACAGAGAGAACCTTCGATCGGAGCTTCGAACTTCCTTATTCGCGACATTGACATTTTTCATTCTTAAGTGACTTTTTATTCCTTCTTGTCGCGATCCCTACGCGTGTTCCAGCTGCCAGAGCCTGCAACGTTCGCGGAATACATCGAATATATAAAGACGTTTCCTTTAAACGACGCGCCGGAGATGTTCGGGATGCATCCGAACGCGGACATAAGCTGCGCCCAAGCAGAAACTTATTCGTGCCTCGAGACGCTGCTTGCTCTCCAGCCGAGACAAGTCGGAGCTGCCGCAGCCAGCACCGAAGAGGTCACAACTCAGATCGCTAAGGACATACTCTCCGACATGCCCGAGACATTTGACTTGGTCGCCATGCAGGCTAGGTACTCGGAATCTTAACCCGCAGGTGCTCCGAACTATCTGCGGCACCATTCTGAATTTTCATTCGTCTCTATTTCAACTCCAACGAGCGCGTTCGAGCGGTCGGGTTTCATTGAATAGTTTGCGACGATCTTGGGAGAGTCGAACGTTCTCGGTTTATCGATAAGTTTGAGATTTGACAATTAATGTGTACCGATGGTCAGGTAGCAGTTGGTAATCCTCTGATGAAAGTTTCGCGGTGTTTGCCGCGCATTTTAGAATAATGTCGTAGTCGGCGGAACTTGTAGTAATGAACTGCTCAAAGTTTCCAATTCCAGGTACCCTGTGTTGTACGAGGAATCGTTCAATACCGTCTTGCTGCAAGAAGCGATACGGTACAATGGACTGTTGGTAGCGGTGAAGACATCGTTGATAGACCTCTTGAAAGCGTTGAAGGGGTTGGTGGTGATGTCGGAGTTGCTGGAAACTGTGGCGCACAGCTTATACGACAACAGAATACCAAAAGTCTGGCAGGACAGAGGCTATCCATCCTTAAAACCGCTCGGTGAGCAGCATTTGGGTTCAAGACCTCGCTGTCGCGTATTGTAGCGCGCATCAATGATTGCCGGATTCTATTCAATTCTGTTAAAAATCTCACCGGCATCGCCGACGTTGCCGTTGTGAAACTACATCGATCGAAAATTTCTCGACCAAGAAAGTTCGCTCGATCCAACGATTTCGTTTGGAAGCTGCGAAGGACAAACGAATCATTTTAATAAGATTATGTTTAACGATCTCGATGGAAATGATTATATTATGTTTAGAAATTGTCTGCAAAATTATTGACTGTGTGTCAGAGATTTTTGAAGGGTATTCAATAATCGCCGATGATTAACGCGTGGAAATATCATCTTCGTTTTCGATCATTCGTCCCGGATATACGTTATAGGTGCCTGGTTCCTCGATCTGAAGGATCGAATCGCATTCTTGAATGAGTGGGTGGCGCGTGGAATACCTGCAGCTTTCTGGATCTCCGGCTTCTATTTCCCACAGGCTTTCCTGACTGGGACGCTGCAGAATTTTGCAAGGAAGCGCGTTGTTTCCATCGATACCATCGATTTCAGTTTCCAGGTACGCGGCAACGTTTTACAAACATCAACCTCGCATTTTAATCATTCGAACACTTGAATAAATTACGTTGATCCTTGAATATCGAATTTTTAACTTCGAACGATGTTTTTAAATTTCTAACTCGCAAGCGTGTTTAAACGTATTATGATTAAATGTTACAGGTGCTGAACGCCATGCCAAAACAAAGGCCGCCGGACGGCTGCGTGATCTATGGTCTGTTCCTTGAAGGCTGCCGTTGGAACGTCGATCATCTGGACGAGTCCCATCCGAAGGAGCTGTACACTAGTATTACACCTTTGTCGCATAGCGATTGCGTTCGCGTTTCTTCGACGAATCAATCGGTTTACTCTTCGTTTGTCTATCGCAGACATGCCCCCGATATTGTTGTTGCCGGAAGTGCATCATCGGCAGCCTCCAAGAATCTATTCCTGTCCCGTTTACAAAACCATTATCAGGGCAGGGACGCTAAGCACGACAGGACACTCGACCAATTTCGTTCTGTCCATGGAGATACCGAGCAGAAAACCGCAGGCTCACTGGATCAAACGAGGAGTTGCTTTGATATGTGCTTTGAACTATTAATACGTTCTTTGTTTCACCCTTTCACCGACCATGTAAATATTTACAGATTCCCTTCAAAAATATTACGTCGTTCTAAATATCATTCTGGGCGTCGATTCTTCGATATGCGAAATAAATTCCTGAACAAACCCGTATTAATTATGACAGCTTAATTAGTCGGATTTCATTATAACAATGCAATTGTTCATCGTAACGATACAAAATTATCCATTGTAACAACGCGGCTGTTCTTCGTAACAATAAGAACTTAAGAAAATATGTCTTCATTGTTCAGCTAGTTTCTATTCATCATTTTCATACAATGCCGCATCCTTTCTTACTGATCTCTTGTGAGCCTTAGGAGCCCACGTTACGCACCATGCCGCAATTGCGATAGCTAGAATAAGAATAATAGAGGATGTACTGTGAATTGCCTTTTAGTGTTATAATACCTTTTCGTACGACGAAAAACGTGTAATAAATTATATTCAAAATCCGTTTGAGAATTCTCAACATCTACGACCTCGTCCCTCGAAAAACTAAAAATCTCAAGATATCAGGATCACCAATGGACAACCCTTGAATTTACAATACCTGGAAGCCCTTGAAAAGTACATTTCGCCACTCCCCGAATTCCGGTTGGCACGGACCGCGACAAAAAATGTATCCAGCATTTTTGTTCGAACGCGGTCAAAGTGTAAAACACAATTCCGCGTATTCGTACCGGTATATGACCAAATTGAATCCCCATGGTGCATAATATTCCGAATCACTATCGACAGTTTATAAACGCTGCCGGAAACAACGGAAAGCACAGAGTTCAGTCTTTTGTTCGATCTCTTTCGTAAACCAGAATGATCCTCTCTACTCTAGATGCAATAAATTGGTAACATGAGACTTGTAAAACAGCGGAGACTTCACAGGAACGCCGTGCAGGCAACATCTTTTGTATTTTCAGTGAAATATTTCTCGTAGCTATAACAGACGAAGTTAATTAGTAATATTTTCGACCGCTAGGTGGCACAAGTATATTTTTCTGTGACCACAGGTATCACGCGCGACGTATGTATCGGTAAAAGAAAATTGAACAATAGTCGACGAGAGAAACGAGAACTCAGAGAGAAGCAATTACATATTAGTTTAATTATATATATATATAATATTATTAGTTATAATGCAATTACATATTAGTAATTTTTGAAAGTATTTATTTATTTATTTTTTGGTTTAGGTGTTTCAGCGTTGGTCTATCACCGATTTTGCAGATATCGATTTACCAATATTCGAGCCTTGCGCCTCGAGCTGCGAGGATTGAATAATCGTATCTCCTCTGCCCAAATTGTCCATATTTGTTAACAAGCTGAGGAACAATTGGGGAGAATTTACTGTACATCATTTGATGTAAGTTTAGATCCTAGTGAGATTTGATTTGATCTGGAGATACGAAATTCCGCTACCATAAAACTGTTGCGCGAGGTTCTAGTGGATTTTAATGCAGACAAAATCAAAACTCGAATTTGATTAAATATATTTAATATTCAATACGTCTGTTCTAATTTGAAATTCCCTCCAAAGTAATACGTAAACATGGCGGTTTAGTTTGCTATGTTCACGTACGAACAAGACGGGAGCCATGACAGAACCAAACGTGTCAGATTCCTGTAATTATAAATTATTACATTGGTGCGCTAAAAACTCGGGCGCAACATTCTCGCATCTTCTTTGGTAATACATACATAGATATGTATTCGCACATGTGTGACCTAGTTTATGATCATCTAAAAAATATTCAAAACGAAGAAAAGCATGAATAGCTTTGTACAGTGACCGCAGAAAGTTGGTAGTACTGAATCGACATCTATGTATGTGTCCTTTAACCATTAAATACATACATACATTCAACCGTGCGCATGTGTGCGTTGTAAGATCAAACTACATAGTATTGACGTTGACAATTTCCAGTTGATATTTGGTAGAAATCTAAGGAAACGACTGTTGGGGGTGTTTCCCAAAATATTAATCACGCATTCCACAATTTTAGTAAGGTACAATTCGTTCGACTCGACATTGTAGACAATTCATTTAAATTAAATGAAGTTTTTTCTTTGGTCACTTTCATTCTTAAATATCTTTAACATTCTACGTGAAAAATATTTTTTCAAATAAATGTATGGTTATAGGTTATCTTTCTTATAACTGTTTAACTGTAGCATTAGAGATATTTATTTAATTTAAATTTAACCTCTAAGACATTTCGTGAGATGATTAAGAAATTATCACTATATTAGTGTAAAACAAAGATGACACTACTGAAAGCTGTAGTGTCATAATTCAATTTTACATAAGTTACAATATTACAATATATTTATTTATAATATTGTATTTAACATTAATTTTTAAAATTTTGAAATGTTAAAGATGTACTTTTCATTTTTACAAAAGCATAATTCTAAA